AGAGCGGAGCCGCCCAGGCCCCTGTCACCTGCGCGGAGAACCGCTCCTGGGCCCTCTCCCAGGCTGGGTTCTGCCGACGAGGTCCGGAAGGGGACCTGTGAGCCTTGCTGGCCTCCTGCCAAGACTTGACTCAAGGAAAGTGCTTCCATAATCAAAACCAGAATTTAGTAAACTAGATTTTCCGCCTGCGTCCCCATTCTCAAGCGGAGCCGCCCAGGCCCCTGTCACCTGCGCGGAGAACCGCTCCTGGGCCCTCTCCCAGGCTGGGTTCTGCCGACGAGGTCCGGAAGGGGACCTGTGAGCCTTGCTGGCCTCCTGCCAAGACTTGACTCAAGGAAAGTGCTTCCATAATCAAAACCAGAATTTAGTAAACTAGATTTTCCGCCTGCGTCCCCATTCTCATCCATTCTGAGGGCGCTTGCCGCCCAGGCAAAGCCACCCTATTTGGCACCTTGTGAAGATAAGAGAGACTTCGTACTTCTGACCTGGTGCTGATAGTGCAGTTGTGTCCCTGTCTAGGTGAACCGGGTTATGCACTATCCCTGCCCTGCCGCGGGGAGCAGAGGCCAAGAGCCTAGTAGCATGCAGTAAATGTAGTGTGTGGCAGAAGTCACCTAGGTGGCTTTTTCAGGATTTGTGGCTTCGAGGTGGAATTTGGGAGGTGGGATGAACTAAAGGAAGACATTCTGGGTGGAGAATGGACGGTCGTCCATTGATGCTTGCAGACCGTCCATAGCAGACAGTGAGTTAGTGACGAAAGAGCCCACATATTGACTCTTCTGCCTCCCCTGCCTGTGGCTCTCGCGTTGACTTACTGTCCTTAGAGATGGGGGCTGTTGACATGCGGAATCTCTTGCTTTTTCCTTGACTGAGGGTCAGAGTCTCAGGGTTGACTTTTGCCAGTTGATTTCATAGGAGCAAAGGGTCCTAGATTCTGAACGGGAAGTACCAGGCTGTCTCATCATTTAAGTAGGAAGTACCAGTCTTGGGGGTACTAGAGGGGATTCTGAAAGGGTGTACATTTGCATTGAGGGAGGCGTATTCCCTTCAAACATTTGTCAGAGGATTCTTTTGTTCTTCAGCCCTCATTGATCTGTGTTGGCCCTGAGGGTTTCATGGTAAATTCTGGAGCACATCTTTTTCTTGGTCCGCTGGGTCCACTTCATTCAGCTTGGTCTTGACCTGTTCTGGTGGCTTCCCTTTCTCCTCCCTAGACTGCAGGAGGCAAGGAATTAGGAGATCTTCTACCTGTCTGCTGGCTTCCTCCTGGGGAGGCTGCTGGGTGGCTCCCAGCTGTATGAGAACTAGGGGCCCTGGTTTCTGCTTCTCTGTCTCTGCCCATGTAGTCAGGGGTGGGGGAAATAGCAGCAGAATCAGGCTAGTGACCTTGTCCCCAGAAGGACAGGAAAAATCTTTTTAATCAAGTGAAAATTTACCATCTTGCAAACTAAAAACTTCCTGAATCAAATTACATCCTAACACTTGAAAGTCATTAATTCTCGCCCAAGATTTTCTGGAGCTGGTTCATATCTGTGCTTTTATAACCTTCCATTTCATTACTGTCAAACAGATAATAAAGGATTAATTTGGTTTTTTTTATTTTTAAATTTAAACATCATTTTTTGGTAAACTGATTAGAAACCATTTTTGAACATGTATTCATAGAACTAGAAAGAAGCTCAATATCCTAAATCATTTTACATATATAATTTAATCCCCACAATAGCCTTATAAGCTAGATCTCATCCCCCTTTTACATGACAGTATAGAAAGAATTTATTAACTTACCTGCAGTGACTCAGCCAACAAGTGACACAGACTAATTTTGAGAGCAAAACAAGCAGTTTTGAAGACTCATGTTTTGGTTTCTCTATTATGCTGCCTCAGTTTCCACATTTTAAATAAGTATAACTCATTGGGTTGATATGAGGATTAAGTGCAAAAAATTTATTTGTATGCTTAGTACAGCATTTGATATCAATAAAGATAACTCAATGGACATTCTTTACCCTCCTTTTAGTTTCCCGTCATATCTTCTATCATTATCATATGTTGCTTTACTTAGGCACATGTATATGTGTGCATGGGGAAAGAATTTCACAGGTAATTCTAAAGCTATGAATTCATATCTCAGCCTTGGGGGTGAGAGGGATGAGATTTAAAAGTACAGAAACCATTTAGAGCAAAGAATCAGTTTTACTACAGGGTGATGTGACATATTTGTATTTTAGCAACACCAACTATGCTGCTCTCTGAACTGAGTGAAATTTCAGCATAGCCCCTTGAAGCTATGTGGAGATGCAGACTTGTTGCTCACAAGGCCACAAGGCTCTATGTGGGCCTTCTCTGTAGAAAAACAACTCAACTGCCTTAGCACACACAGGCTTCAGCTACCGTGGAGCTCAGGTGATCTCTTCTGTAACAGCCTATCCTCCCTGGGCAAACAAGAGAACTATGTTGTGTCCTAGGAAGAGGCCAGAAAATCTTGTCAGTTTTCCCTTTGCTTTCTTCTCCCTACTTATTACAGAAGGTATGTTTACAGGGGCGCTTTCTTCACTGTAATCAAACTCCCCCTCCTTCCCGATTCACTTGTGCAAGGGATTGTGGAGCCACAAGCCCCAGAGCTTTCTTTGAGTGGCTCAGGTCAGCTAGGCTCACAGTGTATCTCAGCAGTTACCCAAGATATCCGTGAGTAAACAGCCCAGGTGCTTAGGCGGGAAGCACAGCCACGGGCAGCAGCCCTGAAGGAATTACAGTTCCCGTGGAGGAGTCTCAGAGCCAGCACTGGAGCCAGCACTGGAGCCAGCTTCAGGTGGCACAGGACCTTCTCTTGAGCCAGAGGAAAAACACTTGGCAGAGTAGGAAGGCAAAGGTCAGGTGTCATCTGTGTATGTGAGAGGGAGAGAGAGAGTGAGGAGATTCTGATATGATAAGAGATTTAGGAAAAAGAGGTCGACGCCAAAATGAGGTATTGTCCAAATATTGGCCGCCTTGGAGGACTCAGCCATTACGGAGTGTATTCCTTGTCTCTAATCAAGGTAAAAGTAGGAAACCTTATGCTGAGCTCATTTGCATGGTTTGCATCATCAGCAAAATGGGTAGAATGAGAAGCAACAGAGATGTTTGTTTCCTCAGCTATCTGGTTGCTTTCTTTGCTAGTGTTTGTCAAAGACTGGTTTAACGCTCTGCTTCACAACTTCATACCCAGCTCTCAGATCTCCTGGAGAATGCACATTGGTGTTTTTATTATCACAGTGGCTGAAGAGCTCAGTTTTGAACCTTGGAGGCTGGTGGTTCTATGGTAGCCCAAGCAACTTCATGCCTTTGTCAAGATGCTAGGTCAGGTCACCGGGTCACTGGGTGGCTGCACCAGTGAAAGACATTATCTTATGTAGCCCAGAAACTTCCTAGTGACCAGGATGCAGTAGAGGTACCTAGAAGATTTAGCATAGTCACTGTCAAAACTATTGCATTGAGCGTTCTTGGAGGAAGAAAGGCCACACATTACATTCTGTTTTCACTGTCTTTGTTACTGCCCCCTAGCAACCTCACCACACTCCTGTACTCTTCTGAACACTGCAAAGATTGCCCCCAGAATTCTTAGGAGTTCCTGTGGGGACTTCCTAAATCAAGTACCAAGAAATGCTTGGGCAAGTAAAACTAAGGAGGTTGATAGAAATAGGGTAGTTATGTTCAACAGTTCAACAAAACTGAAAGAGAGATCAGAAAAGGTACATATAAAGAATCAAGGAAATAGAAATAAAAGAACTATACAGGGTTGCAAAGGTGGCTTAATAACTTATTTTTCAGTGATAATGTCAAGAAATTTTTTCCTAAGCTCAGAGAAGAGAGAAATGGGGAAGAGGGAGAAGGGTGGAGAGTGAGGAGGAAGGGGGGACTGTGATTGAATGGGAGACAGAGAAAGACAAGGTCAGGATTTTATGAGAAGCTGTTCTTACGTCCCCTATGAAGGGTTAGTGATGGAGGAGGTTGGTGTACACCCCATACATCCATAAGTTAGGATTTTGTCTAAGAGACTATGCATGCAAGTGTCAGGACAGACCTCCATTCTGTGTCAGGCATCCCTTACATCGAACTTGCCATCTTGCCTCTCTTCCAAGCTTCCATTGAAGAGCCAAAGAAAAATAATGATAGGGGGAAATCTGTGCCATTGTTCAAAACTGAGAAAGGATTCCACCCACATATTAGACATTTCAAGGGATTTCTGTAAGACTTCATGCAGATGAGCCCAGTCTGAGAGAAAGGTATGACAGCTCTCAATTCACCTCATAGACAAGAAAAAGGTCTGTGGGGAGGGAGGGAATACACAGAAACCTGGTGATGTTCCTGTGCTGGTTGTGACAAAGACCCCAGGCAAAAATAAGCCTCAGGAAAGTGAGGTGCGGCACCTCTCCATCCCCTTAAGGTATCTGGGAAGTGCCCAGATACACAGGACACAGAACAGAACATAGAACAAGGGTGACGTAAGAGAGGGGAGACTCACATTTGGGGCTTGGCATCAAGAAAACATTGCCAAGGAGGCAATGGTGAGGGCATCTGCACAGCACCCAGCCAACTTAATGTTTTCACACCACACAGTTTTCATTATGAAGTTGAAACTCTGCTCTCTTGGATGTCTTCGCAGACAACTGGCTCTTAATTGCTTCCTTTCTTTGGTTTATTCCACAGGGGCCCACTGCACACCTTTTCTGCTCCAGGCATTAAGTTAGGTTCCAGAGATTCAACAAAGCACCTTCTGCCTTGTGGAGCCCTCAGTCAGATAATCAGGACAATTTGCCACATAAATGCCAAAGACAACAAAGAAATATCCATGAAATTTTGATAGAAATGATTATGATACAAAATTCTGTCTCATCAAAATACTTCAATAAAAATTATAAAAATGTAAACAATTCATGCACCACATCAACTAAATAAAATCCACGGAAAATACCCCAGCCAAACAAATGAACTCATGAAGATAAAAGAAAGAGTATCAGTGTGGGGATTTCTCAAAAAACTAAAACTAGGGTTCCATTTGACCCAGATGTACCTCTTCTTGGTATCTTCCTAAAAGAATTAAAAGCATCATGCCACAACAACATATGCACACCCATGTTAATAGCAGTTTGTAATAGCTAAATCTTGGAAACAGTCCAGGTTCCCATCAACTGATAAGTGGATAAAGAAGATGTCAGTTTTTTTTTTTACAAGAACATATGCTTTATTAGGAACTAATCTTCTTCATATTTTTCATGATGGGATAGCACATAGCGTGAAAATGTGGGGATGCGGGGTCCTAACTGCTCAGGGGGTCCGTCAGGATGGACCCTTTTGCCTCTAAGACATCGACTTCTGTGTGGAGCCCTCTGAGGGCAGCTCTTGGTGGCCTGCTCAGGGCCCCATCTCCTGCGTCCCGTGGAAATGACTCTCTGGTGCAGCCAGCAGAACGCCCGCCCCATGAGCCGAATGGCTATGCTCGGTGGTCTGGGGGCGTCGTCCTCCAGGTGTGCTGAGGAGGTGGAGGCCTCTGTGGTGCCCGACTTGTGGCTGCTGCTTGCCTTACCTGCCCTCTCAGCACATTCCTGTCCCTTCGGTGTCTCAGGCACCAACATCTGGGAATCTGGAAATGGGCCGACATCTGTGTTTCCTGATGGTTTGCACATGTGCTATTCTAGACACACCTCCTGTTCCTGATGACTGAGCTGGGTGGAGAGACAGCTGCTTGGCTGAGGTCTTCGAACGTAGTAAGTTCGAGGAAATCGCAGTCATCATCTTTCTTCTTTCTCTGAAGTTTTTCGTGATTTTTATTGTCATCCATTTGGATTTCTTCATCATTCAAATCAAAACTCTGAAATGTATTCAGCAGTTTTAGGAGACCATCCAGTTTTCCTTTAGTACATTTTGTTTTGTCCTCGGGGCACTCCTTGCCTCTACATTGATTTTTGTGGGGAGTTGATTCTTCAAAGCCATTGTCGTCAGCACAGGCCACAGAGATACCTAGTTCATAGATCTGCTGTGGGTTGTCCAGAGGTAGCTGTTGTAGGTTGGGCCATCTCTTTTTCCCTTCAGGCCCCCACCTGCCTTGGACAGGACAGATGAGGTTGCCTGAAGAACATACACTGGGAGTCATGTCTTCAAGAAGGATGATGTCCTCACAGGATGAGAGCTCTTCACAGGGGAGACAGTCCCCAGGGAGCTTCAGTGTGGATTTGTTTTTGCAATTGCACTCCTCTGCATCAGAGGGGTCGCTGCTAGGGGATGAGGATGCCATGGGGTTGAAGAGCCAACGTGAGAGTCTCTGTCAACACCAGAAGCTTCCACAGGGGAAAAAATGGGAGATACTGGGGAGAAAATTCACTGCCAACTCCTGGAGCACAAACAGGAGATATGCGAGAGTCTTCAGCACTCAAGTGTCAGTGGCTCATGGTGAGCTAGGTCATAATCCGTCTTCTATGACTGCTGGTTACCATGGCAATATCCAAACCAGTATAGTCAGACAGTAGGAATAGAGAGAAAGGGGACAGGAAACCATAGGATCTATCTCCTTCCTTCTGAAACTTTGTGACCACACACCATGCAGGCTGAAGGATCCCTCTTGAGGCCACAAGGACCAATGCCCCAGGGTGGAGATTCCTCTCGTCTTGTCTTGGGGCATCTGAGATCCTTCCTGTCCTTTTTGCGGGGAGAGCTGCAAAAACACCCTTTTCTAAGAGTGATAAGAGCAACAGAAGAGGTGAAAACTCAGTCCTGAGAGGATAAAGGAAGGCACCTTATGCAGCTGAGCCCCATGTGAGCAGGGGACCAAGACAGACCCTCTAAGGAGAGGCCTTCTGACCTAAGAGTTCATGGAGCCCTGGAGCCGAGGTGACAAAGAGGTGGGTGCCCGTGCACTGGGGACGGTGGCTGCTAGGGTCGACCACTTCCTATTCCCATCTGTCTGACAGCAAAGCAAGGAACCCAAGCTCCTGCCCCTCATCTTTAAATTAGTCCGAGAGTTAATTTTGTGTGCCCACTCCACCTCACACTGGGGGCCCAGAGGCTTGGTAAGACGTGGTTCTGGGTGGCTTTGGATGAGACCAACATTTTGATCCCACAGATGGAGTCAAGTAGAGTCATCTCATGCCATGGGTGGGCTCTGTCCTGTCAGGTGAGGCCAGAACAGGGAAAAAGGAAGGGCAGATGTGGGAGCCACAGGTGAGTGCGAGCCCTAGCCTGGGCTGCCTCGAGCCACTTGGCACTGCCACCTGCCAGCCCTGAAAGCTGATGCCACCAAAGCCCGTTCTCTGAGCCGCCGGCAGCTTCTGCCTCTGGCCTGTATGGGCCCAGTCAGCAGGACCGGGTGGCCGCACCCTCCCCTGCCTGCGCCGCCATCAGCTCCAGCAAAGTAGGTGAGATCTGGGACTCCCGCTGAGATCACTTCTCCCTCTGGCCTGTTTGGGCCCAGTCGGTGGGACCGGGTGGCCACCCCCTCCCCTCCCTGTGCCACCATCAGTTCCAGCCATGTCAGTTTTTTATACAATGGAGTACTGCTCTGCCATAATGAAGGATGAGCTTCAGATATTTATAGCTAAATGGATGGACCTTGAGACCATACTCTTAAGTGAAATAAACTGGACACACATGTTTAAATGCCACATTGTTTCTCTGGTGTGAGGAACTGAATATTGAAATAAGGGCTGAGATGTATAACGGATATTAGGCATTGGGAAGAATGTTCAAATTGAAAGGGAAACAAAGGAAGAGGGAGGGAGAAAGGAAGGAAGGGGCAAGAAAAAAGTGAAAATAGAAAGAAAAAATGGAAAGAAAGCTTTTGAACATAGGGTGGGGAGGGCACTTGAGGGGGTATTGGGATAAAATAGAATAAATTTTTTTAGAAATTAAAAAAGAATACTCAACAATGAAAGCAGTAAACATTAGTGTCGCGCCTGATTCTAGATTCTTAGTATGTTGTAGCACTTACTGTTGTAAGATGTTTGCCTTTCCTTCCTGCTGACAGAAGGAAACTTGACTGGGTCCCCGGGTGAAACAAGACAATCCCCTGCCCTGCTCATTGCTGTTGATTGGCTTAGGGTGGGCACATGACTAAGCCTGTCCAGTAAAATGTTATGGAGCATCTCTTGTTAGGCTTTTGGGGTAGGAATTTGCTTCTTGATAAAGAGAATCAGTAAAGTAGGCTATTTTTCTTCTTGCCTTGGAATTAGTTGTCTAAGGATGGTGTATGTATAGTTTTGACGTCCATCTTGTAACCATAGAGAGAAGGTCAAGAGAATCTGAGAGACACCCAGCCACCACCCTGACATGGAACTGCTGCTGAAGCAGCCCTAGACCTGCTTCCCTTCACCCTCTTCTGCATGTGGTATAATGAAATGTCCTTAATGTCCAAGATAGCGAGGATAATTCTTAAAAGAAAACATGTAATTCTTAAAGGAAAACGTATATGCATGCATCAGGAGTTGCAGTTGAATAGTAATAGTGACAATACAAAAGCTCAGATTATTGTCGTAGTGACTGGAAGGACAAGAAGGGGAGGGGAATGTGCTTATTTTCTCATTTTTCACTGAATAGGTAACTACTGTGTGTTTCCTTTGGTAGATACAGAAGTTCGCTTAAAAATTTAAGAAGTATTAGAGTAAAAGTAGAATATATCCAAATTTCTAAAGGATAAAAGATGTGTGTGGGGAGTGGGCAGGATGTAGTAGGGAGACAAAACAAGGACAGTTCTAATATGTAAATGGCAGGAAGCATTTACATGATCAGATGGTAGAAGTAAGCACAAATATGTCTATGTTCCATTAAACATGAATAGGTTAAACAAGCAGTCTCTAACCATTTTGGCACTAGGGACTGGTTTCTTTTTCCACAGGTTGTGTGTGTGTGTGTGTGTGTGTGTGTGTGTGTGTGTGTGTGTGGTTTCAAGATGATTCAAGTGCATTGTATTTATTGTGCACTTTGTTTCTATTATTACATTGTAATGAATAGTAAAATGTACAGTTCACTGTAATGCAAAATCAGTGGGAGCCCTGATAAAGTTTCCCTGCAACTAGGCAGTCCCCTCTGGGGGTGACAGGAGACAGTGACACATGAAACTTGTTGCTTATGTCTAGTCAAATCTGTAATCTTGCTGTCATTGCAGAAAACCCTGCTTCACAAAGATAGGGTATTGAAAATGAAAGCAGGCTTTTCAATATTTCTGTGGCAGTCTCAGGATATTCCACCTTGACGTTAGTCCAGAACATTTGGGGACTTGAAGTTGTCCCAAACATACTTTACAGCTCACTATTACCACTCACTGTTGTTGTGATCTGAAGCAGTTGATCCTCTTCTAGCATGGGCAAAGTCAGTTCACCTGGCTTATTCACAAATGGGTCACAAATGTGTTCTTTCCCAGTGTGCAGGGCTTTTGTGATGCTCAAACTCTTTTGAAAGCTGAGATTGGTGATCGTGTCCCAGCTGGGAGAAAGAAAGCCCTGGCTCAGTTTCTTTCAAAATCTCTGTTAATGTTTGAAACATGTCAGATTTCTCATGTTCACTCATCGCCCCCAAAATAGCCACTTTGTCTCCCAACTTGAACACATTTGTCACTTTCCTTTAAGGTGACAGATTGAGTTTGTTGAACAGGTTGAATATGTTACACAAGCAACTTGCATGACGCATTCTGTGTCACTGAAATGTGTTGCCAGTGGTGACTGTTTTTCTAAAAGAAATCTCTGGATGGAGATTTCTCTAACTCAGAAACTGGCCAGTGGTCTATCTTTAGAAAGCCATTTCACTTCTGTGTATAAGATAAGCTGTGTGCTCTGCATCTGTCTCCTCACCGAGCTGCATGAACAGACACGAGTTAAGGGCATATACTCTAATTGGATTGATAATTTTAATTACATCCTGCAAAACGTTCAGTGATTTTTTCAGCATTTCTCTACAGCTGACACAGTACATAAACACACTCAGAAGTGGCCTCTTTGACCCAAGTAGTGAAACCAGAAAGCCACTGACACAAAACACCCAATTAGGTTTTCCTGATACATAATCATTCAAAACCTTGACAAATTTCTGCAGCTATGATGTTGGTTGGCAGTCAAAGCACACAAGGTAACCTTATGCACATCCTCTTGAAAAATATATAAAAACAAACATTATTGCCTTGTCAGTATAGGTGAATGTGAGAACTTGAATTTTGTACCATCATGACTCATTAATCCTCTCTAACAATTGTGCCTTAATATCCTCCTCTGCTCTTTTATTAATTCATTTAGTTACAGTGCCAGCCAAAAGAGGAGCATGTGCCACTTTTAAAATTTTAATTTCTTTAGTTTTAATTTTGTGTGATTATTACTGCATGTTTGTGGTGCATAATGATTACATTCCACATGGGGAGTTGGTAACACATCTTAATGTTTTTCATGCCCTTCCCCTCCATCTCTTGATCCCCTTCCCTGTAAAAAACAAACAAACAAACAAACAAACAAACAAAAAAAAACTATTAAGTATCAACTGTGTTTTGCTAAGTTAAATTTCACACAGATTGAGTTTTTTTGTCAAAATAATCCTTTAAATTTGGTAACAAACAAACAAACAAACAAACAAACAAACAAAAAAACTATCTCCCTATTTCCCATTGTCTCTTTTTTATTTTGCTTTTTATTTATATTTTGGGTTTTTCATATAAGAGAAACCATGCAATATTTAAGGTTATGTGACTGATTTATTTCACTTAGCATTACTTTCTCAAAGTGCACCAGTTTACCTACAAGTGACTCAAGTTTATCCTTCTTTGTGGTAGAAATGTATTCCATTTTGTATAAATACCATTTACCTGTTGATTGACATATGGACCACTTCCAAGACCTAGCTATTATGAGTTATTGTGCTATAAACATGGGTATGCAATTTATCACTGTAATACAATGTCTTTAATTCTTTCAGGAAGAACAGCTGGGCACTATGGAATTTCTAGCTGTAGTTTTTGAAAACTCTCCATACTGTTTTCCATAGTGTTATACTAGTTTGTATTTCCACCAACAGTGTAGAAGTGTTTTTTTCCCCCTTAGCCTCACCAACATTTGCTATTTGATTTCTTGATGATAGCCATTCTTTCTGGAGTGAGGTGGAATCTCAGTGTTTTATATTTCTTTAATGGCCAAACTTGTTGAACATTTTTTCATGTATGTATTGGTCATTTGAACTTCTGAGAAATGTCTGTTTAATTTACTTGCCCACTTTTTGATTAGGTCTTTTATTTGGGAGGGGCTCCAACTTCTTTAATTCTTTATATAGCCTGGATATTAGTCCTCTGTTTGAAAAATATCATTGGCTGTTTCCTTTGCTATGCAAAAGTTTTAATTTGATATAATCCTGTTTGTTGGGATTGTTGATGTTATTTCTTGTGTAATTGGGAAAGTCCTTGCCTATGCCTGTGTCTTTAAGAGTTGTAC